AAAAAATTTTTTTTTACTTTTTTGGGAGAAAATCCTTTTCATTTTAAAAGAATAAAATTAAGATTCGTCTTAATTAAATCTCCTTTTTTTTTTACCAGATCCCCGTAGAAACAGCAAAAACAATGCTTTTAAATTTAAAAAATAAAAAAAAATTTATGCAAATATCTTATTTTGTTTTGTTTGTTTCATTACAATAATGGATAAACAAAAGTTTCCTTTCTGTTTTCTGAAAGAGGCCGCTTTCCAACAGCCTGCTCACTTCAGCCATCCATATATAAAACACTTTTTTTCTGCTTTTTCTTACATATTTTAAAATCGGAAAAAGACCAAGAGAAATGTCATCCCCTCTGTGACTAACATGTACTTAAATATATTTAAAATGCTTAATGAACTCAGGTGTGCAGGGGTTCATTTCAGGGTGTCTAGCTGGATTTAATCTCCACCTTTCCGGATGTTTTCTCTGCTGAATAAAATAATTTAACCGTTTATGGCTTCTAATTAATCACATTTAGTTACTTTAACACAACTGTTTTATGTCTTATCCTGCTGACATGAAAAATATGTGTTAAAGTCACTAAATATGATTAAATAAATGTAATGGTTATTGTCTACCTTCTTTTAAAGAATGACAAAAATTAACATCACTGGAACCTAATTATTATTTTTTTTATTCAAAATTGCAAATAATTTAGGAACAAATTTATCCTCGTAACTGTTGGCCTCCCTGCACTGGAAAAAATTTAAATCTAAATAAGTAATTTTTCTTAAAATAAGTGCAGTTTTACTAGAACTGAGGAGGTAAAACAAACATTTTGCCAAATAAACAATTTACACTTAAAATAAGGGAAAACGATTGAACTCTCTTATTTCAAGCACATTTTATCTAATTATGTTATTTTAAGAGTAAAAACAGTCATTCCATTGGCAAACTCTCACTTACCTGCTCAAATTAAGGGTAAATACACTGAATTTAAGAAATTATTATTGTTTATAGATCATTTTTCCAGTGTGAGATAAATGCGTTTTAAAATAAGAGCTTCATGCGTGGCGGGTTTTCAAAATATAGAAATGCAAAAGTAAAAGATCAAAAGATCTAAAAATTGTGTTCCTTTTATTTGGTTTTTTGTTAATAAACATTTAGCAGAAGTTAAATGTTTATTTCCACCATCAGTCTTATTCTGTGGATTTTTCTCAGCTGTTAATAAATAAATGGATGAATCCAATCAGAGTCTCTGGATGCCTGATTCTTTCCTCCGCGCTGAAAAATGTGAAGCAACCAGTTTATTTCTCATCAGGAGAGATTTCTGACTGCTTCCCCGGTAATGGATTAGATGCGGAGATTCAGTTTCACTTTTTAAAAAAGAAGGATCGAGGTTTGAGCATCAAGCTGCTTCCTCTGTTTTCCATTTGCTTCCCTGTGGTTTTTATTTCTACATTTCTATTTCTAAGGTTCTATTCTCTGGAACTTTGATTCAAATGTCAAAAAATTTCATTTTTTTTATCTTAGACACTCTTTTAGAAGTTTTCCTTTAAATGTTAAGTTTAAATATTTGTCTAAAACTAAAAATGAAAGGACGCGCGCGCGCATTTCTCAGCTTAGATGTGAAAGAAATGAAACTTTGAACAGGTAAAGGCCTCCAAACCCACCTCCTGATCTTCATAGCAACTTCTGACGTCATTCCCCACCCAGACCCAATAGGTGAAAACAACCTGAAGCAGTGGGATGGATGGGGTTGGGGGGGGGCACGGTGAAGGAGCGGCCACGTGCCAGAGGTTCGGGACTCAGAAGTCACGATGCGCGTGAACATTTAATATCCGTGATTTTTTATTTCCAGGTAAAAACAAAAACAAAAAAACAGTAAACATCACTGCTATAAACATAATAGACTTTGGTAAAACAGAGTGGATACAAAAACATTGAAAAAAATAATGCAACAGTTTTTTAGTTACTTTAACGCAGTTATTTTATGTCCTACCCTGCTAGCATGAAATAATTGTGTTAAAGTGACTAAATGTGATTAAATAAATGCTATAAAATTGTTGCATTATTTCGTTTGTACAGCTTTGCAGAACATTTCCATTCCATAAAGTGCAGCAGCGATTAAATAATGATAACAATGATAATGAGAATAACTGCAACAATTAACAACAAAACGTGGGCGACATAAATACATTAATAAACCAATAAATGTCAAATATTTCATATAATTCATGATGCCACTCCAGATTCATCAGGATGGGAAACCATCCCTCACTTTGGTGACCCCTCTTCTAGATTTTCACCAACTTTATTGACCTCAGAAGAGAAAAATCGTATCAGTTTGTCAAAACATCAGATGAATTAGGAATTATTAACCTTAAGATGTTGATCATCATAAGGACATATGCTGACATTTAGCCGCTAAACACCGCTATAGATGCATAGGGAAAGGTGGGGATAAAATCTGATCCTGTTTAGGCCCATTCAGTCTGGCTGGTTCTTATTAATCATTTAGTGAAACAAAAACTTTCAACTTTTCAAGCTTATTCGGATTTGTATTAAAATGATTGATCCTAAATGTCCTTCTGGGTTCCAGCAGCCTTTGCGCCTCTCCAGAGGAGCGCAGAGCGCTGCGTCAGGATCCTAATCATGACCCCCCCTACAGCAGGAAAACTTCTTTGTTTGGTATTGATTATTAGACATCTCTCATCAGGGGTAAGTTAGAAAAAAAAAAGTGGATTTGCGCCAGACTGGCTTTACGGCCGCCCTGGCGTCGTATCCTGCTGCGGCGCGCGGCCCTCCGCAGACTGCTGTCAGCTGCTGCTGCGCTCTGAGGAGCCCCAATAAAATGTGGACGGACGCTCTTCATCTGCGTTTATGTCAAATATGAGAGGCTGCTGGGTGGAAACAAATTAGAGGTCGTGGGCAATAATGAGGCGTTAAACGCTCTGGGGATGATTTTACGCACAGGTTACAGGTGACAGAAGATCTGATATTTTCCTTTGGTGATTGATCAATCACACAAAGAGCTGGCAATTCAATAATATAATACAGAACATTTTGGAAAATTATAAGAAATATAATAATCATTTAATTTGATATGAAATATATGATGTTTCTACGTTTAATTATTATATATATATATTATTTACAGATTATCAATATGTCAGAAACAATATAAACGTAGGTTATGTGTCATAGTAGAGCGTCTCCTGCTGCTGTCAGTATTTGATGCTGTTTTTTATTACTTTCTATAATAAAATATATGTAAAAAAATGAAAAATTGATGCATTTTAAAAATATATATATATTAAAAAAGATTTATTTATGTTAATAGTTTCTTAATCTGGAAACCTAATGTTTTATCTAATAATCTAGATTGTTTTTCTAAGTTTTAGACTCTATCATAGATCTATGCGTTGTGAATTGACGTCCCTGTCCCGTTCAAGCGGCGTTTCTGATTGGAGGAAAAAGTTTTAGACCTCAGCCAATCACGAGGCGCCCCTGTGTGCGGTGGATGCCCGCTCAGCCAATCAGAGCCCTGAGCGCTGAGGGGGGGCAGCAGAGGAGCTCCGCTACTTTTCACCGTCCGCTCTCACTTGGAATCGGTGTCAACAAGCACCAACATCCCGCCGCTGATCGTCCGCCTCGCTCGGTCACAGTAAAAACCTCCAGAAAGCGAAGCGCTGTGCGACATTAACCCCCCAGCTCACCGCCTCCCCCCCGCTGCCTGCCGGCGGCCCGGGACTCCCCGGTGTTTAGCCGTAGCCCGGGAGGCGGCTAAGCCCTGCCGAGGGTGTTAACTTTCCAGCCGGACCCAGGCTCTTAGTGTCCGGTTCGCGGCCCCCGGCCGGCCGCTGGGGCTCCGGAGGAGCGGCTGGAGGTATGGCTGCGCTGGCGGGGTCCGTGCCCAGGATGATGCGACCCACGCTGGCTCAGAACTACCCCCGCAGCGGCTTCCCTCTGGAAGGTAAAACATTAGATCAGGAATAAAACAGCCACGGATGTAGGAAGATTAAAAACACCTTAAATTCACAGAAAAATGTCGGTTTAAGTGGATTATTTTTTTAATAATTTTACTTTTTTACAGTTTAACCCGCGTTTTCCTGGTTTAAGCTAACTTTGTTTTTCCTTTTTCTCCAAAAACATTTATTTATTTTTCTCTTCGCTGATATTTTCCTCTTTTTTGTCTTTATTTTTTAATCTCCAGTTTCCACCCCGCTGGGTCAGGGCCGGGTCAACCAGCTCGGAGGAGTTTTCATCAACGGCAGGCCTTTGCCCAACCACATCCGACACAAGATCGTGGAGATGGCCCACCACGGCATCCGTCCCTGCGTCATCTCCAGGCAGCTGCGGGTCTCCCACGGCTGCGTGTCCAAAATCCTGTGCCGCTACCAGGAGACGGGCTCCATCAGACCCGGGGCGATCGGAGGCAGCAAGCCGAAGGTGAACCGGAGAAAAACAACCTGTTGATTCCCGCGGAGGTTAAAATAAAAGTGAATAAAAAGAAGAATTTATTTTTGTTTGTGTTTAAAATCAGGGACCATCGCCGGACGTGGAGAGGAGGATAGAGGAATACAAGCGGGAAAACCCGGGTATGTTTAGCTGGGAGATTCGGGATAAATTACTGAAGGATGGAATATGTGACCGAAACAACGTTCCTTCAGGTAACAAAGGAAAGAAATACAATTATTAGCATTTATCAAACTTTTTTATTTTTCTTCTTCACTTTATATATTTTGATTTGTTTTCCAACAAACTTTTTCCATTTGTTTAAAATAAAGTCATCAAAATAAAGCAGTAAAAAGATTTAACTTTTTTTAAATTATTATTTAAAAAATATAGATTATTTAGCATCAGTTTAAAACATGATTATCTGCGTTTTTCTGACATTATCCACTGATTGTTTGTGGCTGTTTGCAGTGAGCTCCATCAGCCGCATCATGAGGACTAAGTTTGGGGGGAAAGGTGAGGAAGAGGAGGAGGAAGAGGAGATGGAGAAGAAGGAGCTGGAGGAGAGCGAGCCAAGGGCCAAACACAGCATCGAAGGCATCTTAGGAGACAGATGTGAGTTCATCTCTTCTCTTTCTGTTTGCTGCAGGGTGGAGATTTGACTTTCTACGGAAGAGGATTAGGGCCACTGGAGAAAAAAAAGAAAAGTTAACTGATTTTAAAATTCTATTTCAGTATGAGAAAAAAGTCAGAATTCTGATTTTAATCTCAAAATTCTGACTGAATTCTGACAGCTAACAAACATGTTAGCATCAAGCTGTAAGCATG